GGAGGGACTGTCGGTAAATGGGGCGGGGTTATTAACGAGGGGAGGGACTGTCGGTAAATGGGGCGGGGTTATTAACGAGGGGAGGGACTGTCGGTAAATGGGGCGGGGTTATTAATGAGGGGAGGGACTGTCGGTAAATGGGGCGGGTTTATTAACGAGGGGAGGGACTGTCAGTAAATGGGGTGGGGTTATTAATGAGGGGAGGGACTGTCGGTAAATGGGGCGGGTTATTAATGAGGGAGGGACTGCCAGTAACTTTGAGTTGGGGGTGGAATTATTTAATTTAATTTATTATTAGACATAAACGCAGACATTGTGATGGAATCATTACATATAGGATTCATTGCGTGATGGATTGGTTATATAGTGTTTGAATTGGAGCAGGCAGCTCTATTGTTTTATATGTGGTGATCCCCATTCTTTATTTACCTCTTTCGATGTCTTGGAGAAGAATCAGTGCTTGGCTGATTGTTGCCGGTGGGTACAGTTGTCGGTGCTGTGAAGTGTTGACACAGACACATTGTGACAGTAACTGGATAATAAAAACGTGGAATATTAACCCCTTCGTGACCAGACCGCTTTTCAATTTTCTTACCGTTAAAGGACCACTATAGTGCCATAAAACAAACTTGTTTTCCTGGCACTATAGGCTCTTTAGGTCCCCCCCCCTCCCGCCGGGCTGAAGGAGTTAAACACTTACCTTTCTCCTGCGCCGGGCTCCTCCCAACGTCAGCACGAAATGCCGCGCGCATTCAAACAGTCCGTAGGACAGCATTTATCAATGCTTTTCTATGGACGTCAGCGTCTTCTCACTGTGATTTTCACAGTGGGAAGCGCCTCTAGTGGCTGTCCGTGAGACAGCCACTGGAGGCTGGATTAACCCTATTGTAAACATAAAAGTTTTTCTAAAACTGCTATGTTTACAGCTGCAGGGTTAAAACCTGGGGGACCTGGTACCCAGCCCACTTCATTGAGCTGAAGTGGTCTGGGTGCCTATAGTGGTCCTTTAAGGACCAGGGTTATTTTTACATTTCTACTGTTTGTGTTTGTGTTTGGCTGTAATTTTCCTCTTACTCATTTACTGTATCCACACATCTTATATACTGGTTTTCTCGCCATTAAATGGTCTTTCTAAAGATACCATTATTTTCATCATATCATATTTACTATAAAAAAAATTAAATATGATGAAAAAATGTAAAAAAAAAAAAACCCCCACTCTTTCTAGCTTTGACCCCCAAAATCTGTTACACATCTACGACCGCCAAAAAACACCTGTGCTAAATAGTTTAAAAATTTTGCCGAATGTTAACATGTTCTTAGCTTTTATTTGGAAAGTTATAGGGCTATAAGCACAAGTAGCACATTGCTATTTCCAAACCAATTTTTTTCAAAATGAACGCAAGTTACATTGCAACACTGATATCTGTCAGAAATCCCTGAATAACCCTTCACGTGTGTGTGTGTTTGTATATATATTCTTAAAAGAAGACAACCTAAAGTATTAGACCTGAGGTATTTTGACTCTTTTCATGCAACCATTTTACCACCAATCTATGCTAAATTTAAAAAATAAAATAATTGGTGATTGTTTTGTCACACATGGCAATTTAAGAATACATGTATTGAGAACTTTAAGGGTTACTGCCAAATACTCCCTAATATGTGTTCAGCAAAATCTCCTGAGTACAGTGATACCCCCCCATGTATAGGTGTGTCGGGTTCTCTCGGGGCTTAAAGACCTTGTTTGGAGGGTGCGCATTCAGTTTTCCAACTTGGAATTTTCTCAGCTGGTCATCGTGCACCCATGTCCTATTTGGGACATTTGTGAAGCCATGTGTAATTTACCCCCATCAAACCATATATTTTTAAAAAGTTGACACCCTAGGGTACTTCAAATGGTGGTATTTTAACACTTTCCATGCACTAATTCTACCACTAGTCTTTTGTCAACCTTTGATTTAATGCTTTCCTATGGAGAGGGCCTAATGCATTAAAGGGACACTCTAGTCAACAAACAACTGCAGCCTCACTGCTCAAATCGCTGCCATTTAGGAGTTAAATCACTTTGTTTATGCAGCCCTAGTCACACCTCCCTGCATGTGACTTACATAGCCTTCCTAAACACTTCCTGTAAAAGTCATCCAATGTTTACACTTCCTTTATTGCAAATTCTGTTTATTTTAGAATTTCTTACCACCTGCTCTGTTAATAGCTTGCTAGACCCGGCAGGAGCCTCCTGTATGTATTTATAGCTCAATATACAGAGCAGGAGATAAAAACTTTTAAAGCAAGTTGAACATGATTGAAAACCAATTATTTCATGCAGGCTCTGTCAGTCATAGCCAGGGGAGGTGTGGCTAGGGCTGCATAAACAGAAACAATGTGATTTAACTCCTAAATGGTAGAGAATTGAGCAGGGCAGCTTCAGAGGCATTAACTATACACACAAACTGGTTCATTAAGCTAAAGTTGTTTTGGTGACCAATGTGTCCCTTTAAGTTCCCCCTTAGCACTGACGTCAGAGGACGCGAACATGTGTTCCTAACACTATAGTATTCCTTTAAAGCAGGGTTAAAATTTGAATTCCTATGCTGCTAGTCAAACTGTAGGTTACTTGCCACTCAAGTCCAGAGGGGTCATGGCACATTCACCAGGGTGAATTTCTACTCCCCAAAAGCTAGTGGGGATTTTTAACCCTGTTTAAGGTCTGAGCCTAGTTTGTAATGCAGTATTTGCTATAGTAGTTATGGTGCTTGGACTGAATAGTGGATTGTGAGACCCTGAACCATCTACTCTATAACGATGAGTGAAATTGGTCAGTTTATTTTATTATTCAATCTCTTTTTTTCTCTTGTCTTACAGGAGGTTGAAGATACATCCCCCAATCACTGCTCTACCAGCTTTAAGGTGCTGGTGGTATCCCCCCTGTTTGAAGGAAAGCCCCTGCTACAGAGACACAGGTGAGAGCAAGGTGTGGTTTATGGGAGAGGTTGGAGGAGACCAGACGGCATTTCACAGCCCGGGGTCCAGTGCTCTATAAATTGAAAGGATAATCTAAGCATTATATCCAAAACCCTCTATTGTAGTGGTTATAGTGTTAGTAGTTGGTGCTTTCCCCTGGTTCTGGGACAAAAATGGGTTTAAAGCATTTTAACCAAAAACTGGGGACCTGGTGCCTGCGCACACTCACATTAAGCATAATCCGTTCATCCATCTTTGAATGGCTATTGAATGACATCCTAATCCACGCCACCCAAATCTGAATGAAGTGGATATTGCGATTGTGGAATCTGGCATACTTAAGCTGTCACTAACCTGGTGTACACAATGCGTGGCTGTCACTAACCTAGTGTACACAATGCGTGGCTGTCACTAACCTAGTGTACACAATGTGTGGCTGTCACTAACCTAGTGTACACAATGTGTGGCTGTCACTAATCTGCTGTACACAATGTGTGGCTGTCACTAATCTGCTGTACACAATGTGTGGCTGTCACTAAACTAGTGTACACAATGTGTGGCTGTCACTAAACTAGTGTACACAATGTGTGGCTGTCACTAACCTGCTGTACACAATGCGTGGCGGTCACTAACCTAGCGTAAACAATGTGTGGCTGTCACTAACCTAGTGTACACAATGTGTGGCTGCCACTAGGTTGGTGTACACAATGTGTGGCTGTCACTAACCTAGTGTAAACAATGTGTGGCTGTCACTAACCTAGTGTAAACAATGTGTGGCTGTCACTAAGTTGGTGTACACTATGTGTTGTTGTCACTAGGTTGGTGTACACTATGTGTTGTTGTCACTAACCTAGTGTACACTATGTGTTGTTGTCACTAACCTGGCGTAGACTATGTGTGGTAGTATCTCATTTCTTTAAGGCAGTTTGATGACTCTCTGCTGTCCCCTGCAGGTTGGTGAACAGTTGTCTGTCTGAGGAACTAAAGGTGATACATGCATTTGAACAGAAGACGCTGACTCCAGCTCAGTGGGAAGTAGAAAAGAAGAAATGAGCTGTAGATGATCGGATGTACTGCTCCATGTGTGCCAGAGCCTGCGGTGCTGATTACAAACACGTGGCTTATCAAACCGTCTGACTGGGTCATCTGAAACCTTACAAGGAACTTTATTTCCCCTTCCTCTGATGGATCAATGGTCACGGTGTTCGATATAATAAATATATGAGCCAACACTTCCTGTTTGGTGTTTTCTCAGCTGCATACAGTATATAATGGGAGCAGACAGAATATAACCCGATCGGCCATTGATATTCCCTAACCTTACCCTGCCTCCTACTATGACTCCCACCATAGAACGAACGCTCCATCACCCCAAGCGTAGAAAGAACGCTCCATCACCCCAGCTATGGAACGAACGCTCCGTTACCCTTGGTCTAGAATTTCAGGAAATTTAATGTATGTTTGTTGTAGATGATGGGAATGTTGGGAAACACGCACTTTACATTTCTTCATGGAATACAATGTGTCCAGTTATGGACTATTGTACGATAACCAGGAGTCCATATAAACGATGTCCCTGTAACTGTGGGACATTGACTAGGTGTAAGTGTAGGACCTCATCTTCCTCAGAAATCACTGTACTGCTATTTGTATATTTTCTCAGCGTGCTTTAAAATAGAGTAAAAAAGAACATTGGTTAAATGATAAATACAAACTACAATCAGAACAGGTGTTAGAGGCTGCATGAGTTTGGAAAGTACTTATAGTTATATAACTCTATTGGGTATAATGATGACCATAGCTGTTGGCATACTGCATAGAAACACTGCCCTCCAGTGGCCAGACCCCAGCTAGCAACAATCCACATCAGGTTAGTGACTAACTGCTGCAGGGCTTCCATTGGACAGTGGGAACCCGGCTCAGCCTGACTATATGTTTTTTTATTGTCTAAGTGTTCCTTAGTAGATTTAAATTGCTGCCTCCCTTAAATAATCCAGCGCCAGTCAGTCTCCTCCTTCCTTGAGATCATATGTCTGGATGATCTCTGGTCCAATGCTCCTCTCAGAAACCCCTGGGGGACATATTGGTCCAATGCTCCTCTCAGAAACCCCTGGGGGACATATTGGTCCAATGCTCCTCTCCGAAACCCCTGGGGGACATATTGGTCCAATGCTCCTCTCAGAAACCCCTGGGGGACATACTGGTCCAATGCTCCTCTCAGAAACCCCTGGGGGACATACTGGTCCAATGCTCCTCTCAGAAACCCTGGGGGACATACTGGTCCAATGCTCCTCTCAGAAACCCCTGGGGGACATATTGGTCCAATGCTCCTCTCAGAAACCCCTGGGGGACATACTGGGCATGTGCGACAATTGCCACACTCAGCAAATCGGATCCTTCTCATAGAGGCGCATTGATTCCACTGCTTCCATCTATCATGCTCTGCCCAGTGACACTAAATTATTTAAAGTCCTCCCTAGAAAGTGTCACTAGTGGCTTTCATTCTATAAGGTTCTAGAACCATAACCGTTACTTCACCGGGGCTGACTATCTGTGTATTCTATTATTTATCCCTCCTGAATCCATCTCAAGCTATTCAGGAAATGCTGATCTGCTATAATAACAATCCCCAAGATTTTTCAACCCATGATACTAGACCAATCGAAGCTCAATCTAATGGTACATCATTATATGAACTTGAATTTTGTAGGATGGTGGGGGGTGTCCTAGCGCAGTGATCGGCAATGTTCGACACTCCAGATGTAGCACACTGCCGTAATGCTGACATAAAATCAGGGGAGATCTGTGGTGCCAAACGTTGCCTACCCTTGTACCTCGTGTAAACTAATATGTGCTGTACTCGTCTCAGCCTGCCCATTTTAGGGAGAAGATGTTTGTGTATTGGATGTGGCTTATTGGTGATTTTTTTTCACTGTAGACTCAGTAAGCAGTTTTTATAAAGATCGGTAACAGCAGTACTCGTGTTAAGAGGTAGAAGGGTAACATTTCACACTCTGACTCGTGATATTGGGATATTGTGTAAAATAAAACCCTCGTGCGGATCAGTAGTGAGTAGCAGAAGCCGGTATGGTATCACTTTATTTTCACGTACCCCACGCCCTGTCCTTACAGGAGACGCAGAGGATGCAGTTTAAGAGTGCATTGACTCTGTTTTGGGGGTTGTAACATTTAGGGCCCTTCATGCCATAGGACATACCCGGACTGTTCTTATATAAAGAGAATTGTCTAATCCGTGGAACATGTTAATCCATCGCACCCATTATGGATTCCATTCAGGGCCCTGCGAAGAGTCTTATTGAGGAAAGCACGATACCAGAGATGAATTGAAAGCGTTTCTCCCTGTACGTGGATCCATTCTCAATGCCAGTGTCCGAGGTTCAGGAGGTCAGGGTGACGGCTTGAAACAGAGATGTGGAAGAGATGCAATGGCGCAGTTTTTGCAACATTTATTTCCTCCAACATGGATTTGAAGAAGGAGAGCTAGACACAGAGCTAACAGAATAGGGCACGGTCACACGTCTTGTGAAGGTAAATAAAGGATTAAGTTCTCTCGCTAATTGGCCGCACTCTCCAGTTGAGAAATGCGTTGCTCCTGTGCCGCAACTGTTGCCTTGAGCTTTTTTATATCTTCCAGAAGCTGCTCCAACACAGAATCCTGCAGGTAAATAAACAATATTAAAGTTAATATGGATAAATAGGTCAACCTAGCTTCTCTCCACAGCACTGGTAGGTCAGCATACTGGGGATATGTCTATTCTTTTACCAGATAGTCAATGGGCTACAGTGACAGGTCATCACTTGCTGATCTTCATGGACATCTGCAGTTACATTTGGCACAATTCAGCTACAATGAAGCACGGAAGATGGCGGTGCCAATGGAACATAAGATAATTACATCTCCCTAAGCTCCCACTTGGGAGTCTTCATTATCATATGATTCACACAAAGCACAGACGTCCTTCGAGGAACAATCCAAGCACCGTAACCAGTACATTTTGCTACGAGTAGATCCACGTTTACTGTTCGAAAATAGTTTGACTCCTTAAAATAGGAGGATGCCTGGCCACTCCTGGCACCAAAACTTACATACAGGTTATGGAGCTTGGAGTGTTCCTGTAAGATCTGAATAGCTCCTACATGTGGTGAGAATTTCTATTATTTTAATATAAACAGACAGGGATAGCATGTTATTAACATCAGCCATTGTGACACACTAGGCAAAAGACAGGAAAAGCAATCAATCTCTGCGCTATTACCTGTGCCTGGCACAAACTCCAACTTACCGAGTCTGCCTTTCCATCGTTAGAGGAGTGGCTGCGTTTAGGAATTCTGCCGCTCAGAACGTTCTTCGTAACTTTGAGTTCTCGGGCCTTGCTTGGGGTGTATCCATCCCGCAGGGAGATCAGCACGGGGCCAGCATTCTTACCCCCCAGCCATTCCTCAGCGGTGAGGGCAGAGTCAGGACCCACGGTGTCTGGGTACAGATCCTCCTGGAACAGGTCCGACTAAGAGATAGACAGAATGGTGTGAGTGCGCCCTGGAACATGCACCTTGTGATACCCACTACTACTGTATAACCTCACCTTGCGGGGAACGGTCATAATGATTGGCTCACATTTCCTCTCGTGCAATTTGTAAAACCTGAAACAGATGGTAGAGTATGAACAGCAAAGCACAGACTGTGCAATATGTAGGAAATCTTACGATTTACCAGAGGCAAGTTCTCCCTGCAGCCCAATCCTCCTCCAAAATAGTCACTATCCCTCACTGCAGTGGGAGAAATCTCAGGGAGTACGGGGCTGTGGGGGATTCACTCGCATGCTTCGGGTGCCGACGACAGATGCCTATTATGCATTGAACTGACAGCTAGGGGATCATAACGTCAGCAGTTTACAAAAATCTCACAGCTGTATGATTGATGTCCAAGGAGGATTTTATTTAATCTTTTCCATTTAGATCTATTCAATGAGTGTGTATAGTGTGTACATGCAATGCTGCAGTTTGGCTACTATTTGTTAATCCAGCTGGGTGGAATTAGCCCATTAACCCCCGCTAGACAGCTCCTTTATTATTGGTATTTATATGGCGCCAGCATATTCCGTAACGCTTTACAATGTTATCAAAAGGGGGAGATTTAACAATAAATGAGACAATTACAGAACTTACATTAACGATAGGTTGAAGAGGACCCTGATCAAACGAGCTTACAGTCTATAGGTTCATGAGATAAGATCAGACTGCGCAGAGCAGACTGACACATCCCTGAATGGTGGAGTCTCTTTCTGGGAGGGGTTTATACATTTTTAATTCATTATCTGGCTCACAATGAAGAGTTTCTGGAAACACATGAAGTGTCCCTTTAAATCCCATGAGAAGCAAGCTAAATGATGGGGGTCTTACCTAGCGATCTCACACTTGTTGACTTCCAGGCCTCGTTTAGGCATGTACCCCATACCGCGCTGGGACTCCTTACTGCTATACTGAGACAGGAAATGGACAAAGGGAGACTCGTCCGTCACTTCAAAGTACTTGATGCTGCTGTCTCCCTGTAATACAGAGATGAGTTAGTAACGTTATAAACCGGAAGCCGAGCAGTCAGCAAGCCGAACCCTGTGTTACATAGCAGACAATAGGTTCAGTGCTGTGTTCTGTTAATAAATGCGTTGGGTACTGCCATTCACCCTAAAGGATTCTGTAATCCTTGTTGCCACCCTTTACTAACCACCCACTGACACAACCCCCAAGTCATTCACCTTCCCGCCAAGGTACACGATGTTGGTATCCGGGTCGAAGAAGGGGATGAGGACTCCGCTGCTGGTGTCCAGCTCCTGGAGGGTGAGTGGTTCATCCAGCGATTTCTAAGGAAGAGCGAAAAATGATCAGGTAAAAGCTTTGAAATATTTCATCTAACCTTACGAGAGGTGTGGCAGGTCTGGCTATAGTCTACACGAGTCTTCTTTCTTACCCCAGGTCCTGACCCACTCACCAGGTCCCACAAGGCCACTTGCCGCTCACTCATTCGGCTAAATCCGGTGGTCAATATTTTATCCTCTGAAACAAAGATGGCTCGGACTGGGCGGCTGCCTTCATGTGGTTTGTCTTTTTCCTACAAGAAAGAAAGGAAAGAATAAAGTTCGGTGCTGTCAGCTGGGGTTTCACGGCATATTGCGGCATAACCGTGTGAAGCGCTGGAACTGGACTTGCATTCCATTTTAAATACATTTTAAGTATCTAGTTCTAGGTCCTGTGAAACCCAATATTGCTCTAAGGAGAGGGTCAGCAGCCTGTAGACTCACCGCTACGATGGTTCCAGCCCTGGGTTCGATGATCCGGATCTTCTTATCCTTGCAGGAGGTGCAGATTTGGCTCCCATCCCAGTTCCATGCCACGCTGTATATGAGATCGGAATGGGTGTCTTCCAGCACGATGACTGATTGGCCAATTCCCACATCCCAAATTAGGATCACATTATCGCAACCTGGAGGTCAAAATGAGAAGTCATCCTCCAACACAATCCATGTACACAGCACATTGTCCATACACACTCCATGTACACAGCATATTGTCCATACACACTCCTTGTACACAGCATATTGTCCATACACACTACGTCCATACACACTTCATGTACGCAGCACATTG